ATCTTTTTTTAAAGAGACTGGAGCACAATGAGCCCTGTATCTGGAGTTTCCAGGTGCTGCTGTAATATAGATAAATAAATGACTGATAACAATGCAGCCAGATGATAAAATACATGAGCCTGATATAAACTACTGAATTAGTTAAATAGCAATKTCTGGTCAGTAGTGTTTTATCACACAGGGCTGTAACACACTGAGACAAAGCAAGAGGTTTTTTTCATTTGCATTAATGATTTGTGTTAAATACTCTTTGATCCTTAATTAATAGTAAGCTATTATTAAATATTAAAATTAAACAACCAGATTATGACATTATTTCAAATTATGATGTGATAATCCAGAGTTTTGATTTATTGACTGAGGGCAGACACCGAGTTGTAACACCAGGGCTCTCAGAGAAGTATTGCAAGCTGATAAGCTGATATGCTATCCCCAAGTGAAAGATTTTGCATTTAGATTTCAGACTTTGCTAAAATTTTCCAGGAAACCCATTTCTTTTGGTCATCACYCATCTGGTTCATACACGGATACCCCAGCTACTGTCTAGCTGACATAATTTTGGTTTACTTTTGAGATCAGTTTATTTTGGACAGCAGCATGGTGTAATTTTCAGAGACTGATATAGACGACTTAATATATGCCAAATCACTTCTCTTTTAAAGGACACACCTCCACATCCATGAAAGGTATTTTTCAGAGCCGCAAAAATGGAGGTAGCACCACTTATAAAACTTAAGCCTTTTAATTCCTCACACACACTACACAGATCTCAGGACAAATTTTGAATCTTTAACAACAAAAAAAACAGTAATATTGGCTTTCATTTAATTTTAGAGAAAAAAAAAAAAGTATTTGAATGTCACTAGAACGTTATCAAGGTCCAGCAAGGGTCCTACTAATTTCATGAAATAATTCAGGTGTGCAGAGTGGGAAGGAATATTTTAGCATCTTTTCCTCCAAGTGTTTCCTTAACCCTTGAAAAATGGAAACCCTTCTGAAAGGGATTTACTTATATTAGATCTTTTGATTGTGTGTTCTTAACCACAGAGTTTTTGTTTTCTTTTTGAAAAAGGAAGGAGTTGCTGAAAGAAATGATTCCCAGGAAAGTACAGAATACCCAGTTTGTGTTCCGATTTGTCTTGGAAGTAAAGGCAAGGCCTCTGTTTCCCCTGACTTTTGCTTTAGAGAGCCGTGGCTGCGCGTTTGTGGTGCTCTGCCTCACGCTCCAGCCTCAGCTTTTCACAAGCTGCATATAAAGCCTTACAAGACAGCTCCTGCCTGGGCTACAGCACATTCCTGCCTCTCTGCTTCTGAATTTTGGTTTAAAAGGTTAGGTGACTTCTAGCGGATAGCAACTATTGGGTAATACTGCAATGCCAGGGTGCTGGGATGGGTGGCAAGGGGAAAAAAGGTGTCACGTCAACCACTCAGCATAAATATCTACCTCTCATGCATGGGCAGAGCACTGCTGGTGAACATGGGGTAGGAGGGAGCCAGGGGAGAGGTGCAAACCACTATAGAAAGCACTTTATGCTAGGAAGCCTGGTRTTTGCTCGCTACCAGTGAGCATTTCTATAGCGCAAGTGTGGCCCAAGGCTGCAGGCTGCTCCAGGGAAATACCTTGGTAAATCCTGCCACAGGAGGTAATTCGGGAGCAGGGAGGTATGGAACTGTCCTGCTCCCTTGGATCTTCATGGGAAGTTCTACCCCACACCCTAGCTGTGATTTACAAGGGATATATAATCCAGATTTATGAGCTGGAATACATCCAGTTTCTCCAGTACCTCAGAACAAGCTAGGCTCCTCTCCTCCAGTAAGGTCTGGAAATCMGCCAGATGTACAAGACCTTCAAACTGTAGACACACAATTTGATGGTACAGCTGAGGGAAGCCATGATGAGTGGCCTCTTGGCTAACGGGAGTAGAGTCCCCCAAAGCCAGCTCCTGCACATACCTTCCTCAAGAGCATCTTAAGGCACTTCAAAACGAGGACCAAGGTCCCAGGGTGTCCCTTGCCCCAGCTGTTTGGACATGAAGCTGTACCTGATGCATGGTCTTGCTGCTGTCTCCAGGGTGCCTCACAGGGCAGCTGCCAGTTCTGGACCCTTATGTCCACAGTTAGTCATGTCCGTGTCATCTGTTGAGTTCATTCCTACATCCCCTGCTAAAGCAATGCACTCTTGGGTCCCTTTCCCAATGTGCTGTGACCCCATCATCCCACCACTACACCACCATGATCTCCTGGCCTCCCCATGTCTTCTGATTGATGACCACAGTAACTTTAGTGGGTTGTTGGTCAGCTTGGCCTGGCAGGGCACAGGTGCCCTCTCTGTAAGGGCCGCCCATGCTATTTTCCCAACACCAGGGGTGGTTTCTGCCTCTTAGCTTGTAACTTGCCAATAAGAAAAATCCATCTTGAAGGATGCTCTTTACCCTTCACTAGGGAAGATGGGTGACAGCCGACCAGTAGGACGCAACGCAGGAATTCATGCCATCAGGTCCAATAGCAGACAGATATTTCACATCATGACTACAGAGAGGGTAAATATCTTTCAGAGGAAGACTAAAGAATGTGCACATTCTATCATGGAAGACTTTCAGGACACCTGTGAAAGGCTGGGTTTCTAGCTACAAATAGGGAAAAGAATAGAGATTGTTTCCTCTCTTGATAGAGAAGACAATACATGGATTTATGGGATTATCTAGATTCCCCTCTTTAGTTAAATCAAAGTTTGATGTAACTCAGTGATGTATTTTCAAGAAATTGCCAAAGGCAAAGGTAGACTGTCTCTTAAATGTTTTACACCTGTCTATGTATAGTCCTCATGATTTCAAAACCTCAATAAATAAATAAGAAAATACTATCACTTAGTTTTATGGGTCTCACTTCTCATTTCTATCCTTGAAGCATCCGGTTTCTCAGAACCTTTTTTAGATCCTGTCATAAATTTCAGCCTTTGCTTTAAAAACAAGGTTCTATTTCTCACAGTTACAGAGAAAAAGATGAAACTGTTAACCCTAAAGTCAAAATGCACAAGTCAGCTCAAACAACAGATCTAACAGATTTATCCTCATCTCACAGCTCATTATTTTTAAGTCTGTCTTTCAATTTAGGGAACTGATTCAGTATTTTAAACAGTGTGGCATGTCAGGTGTAGTGCAGGAAGTACACGAGGAAAGTAAGTGATAAGTTGTGCTTCCACTGCACATCACTGTCTGCCATCAAGAACACCAGAAGTGTTTTGGAAGAAAATGCCAGCTCTGCATGGCTAGATCTATGCTGTGTGGCTGCTTTGCCTTGTCTCTGCCACTCACTTCATTAGACAGTCAACATAGCATCTTACAGATTTTCTTATCTTCTCTATTTCTACTTTCTTTTATCTTTTCTTTTTCTTTAAGTTCAAGAAAATTCAAGTAATTGAATGGAACTGCACAGCACGTGCAATTAATATACACTAGCTGTGCCTTAACTCTTTTTTCCTCCACTGAGGCAATTCTATAAAGAAAGTGATAAGCAACATGCATTTAATTTATCTAGTTTAGTTTACCTACACTCTTGATTTAATAATTTACATACTCACTAATATGCCTATATATAAATTAGTAATCAGGAATTACTAGGAATTACAGGTATTACATAGCATGTAAGTCACTAATCTCCAATTCTTGAAAAAGATTCCAAGTAGAACTTAACATAATTGCTAACCTGAAAGCAGCAGTTCCTGACCTTTGCCTGATGGATTCCCACCAGCCCCAGGAAGCTCCAAGATGCTGTCTTGGACCCCCTGCCCCCAGATTGGCATCRTTTAGTGCCTTGTGTGATAATGATTTAYACCAGCAGGTCCAAAACATTCATATACTGCTGCACTGCTCTTAATCCTCACAATTTCCTTTATTGTACCCTGGAACCACTACCAAACACTCTAGTGAAAATAGGAGTGCTGAAAGCAAAAATTTGTCCATTCAAATGACACTCAGAGGTTTTATTAGAAGGAAAAATATTCTGGCTGGGATCTTGGGATCCTGAAAATCTTAGGAACCTGAAAAATTTTAATACTACAAACACACCCCTAGTGCACATGCAGAGATCTATAACCTACTTGCAATGATGCCTTTTCCCAGTGGGCAACATCCATGAGATCATATTTGAAAAGAACAAATTAAATGTAATTGCACTAAACTTTCACACTTCCTTTTATATGGGGGGCCTTTTATATGTTTCATCTCTTAATGGTCRGTCATGTTCCTGCTGTCTAAGAAAAAAGACTACTTGAAATTAGGAACCTAAGATCAGAACTCATGCCATGCTGCATTACAGGCCTGTTGTAGATCCTGACTACTGAAAGCTGAGTATCTGGGAATTAAAACCATTTAAAAAAATAAAGGCAGCATGAGCCATCATTATATTTTGTTAACATTAGCTGAAAAAGTTGAGGGTTTTCTCTGAGGTCACTATGTAACTCTCCTACTAAGCTAGGGATGGAATGCTTAAAAAAGGGCAAAAGAAAATGAGAGCCTGAAGGCACTTCTCATTCTCCCTGTTCCAGACACCTTTCCCTGGTTGAAAGAGGCACCAGGAATGACTCCAGGGGAAAGAAGCTCTGAGCACGCAGAGCGCAGGTACCCAAAACTTTGGTTCGGATGTCCCTGTGATAAGCACCATGCTCCTTCATAAGGAGCCCCTTGCCCATCCTTGGGCAATATTAGTCATTTCCTTTCTGGCACAGGTAACTGTAGAATTATCCTGTTCTGAGCTCACTTACATATTATTTTCTGCCGCTTCGCCTATTGCCAAAATAAAAACATTACATTTCTTTCAACTTCAACTCCTAAGCAAACTTGCATCAAAGCTTCAAATCAGTTTCAGGGAATTAGAAGAATTAAGGGATTACTTAATTATTTTGTATTTTGAAAATGGTATCAATTTTAACACAGTCGTTTTTGTAAACAGCAAATAGGTTTTTCATATAGTGAGTCTGAAAAAAACTCCTTTCCAAGCACTCCTTTCTTATATTCTGTAGTGCATAATAAATTAAACAATTTTGTGTAAATCAAAAAGCTGAGCTGAGTTTGAGTGAACAACATCATTATCTCACTTTGCAGCTAATTGCTGCGATAGCCACAGCACTACTGTTGTCCACACTACTTTAGACTGAAAGAAGGTTATAATACAGTTTTAATAGTTTAAAACAGCTCTTTGCTATACCAAAAGCAGGGTGTTTGTCTTCATTTAGTATGGTATATTCTGGAATGCACAAATAATTTATTTAAATAAAGGTATATACAAATATGATGAAGGAAAATCTCTACAGAATTCAGTACAATGACTGCATGCACTGGGAACGATGCGCTCTGATTCGCCTTAGAGGAGTGGAGTATGAATTGAAAACTAGGAAAAGTTTGATGGTGTTCTGCAAATTCCGTCACCACATCGAGGGGTCTTCAAACCTGTAACACACATTATGAAAAAAAAAAAAGTTAAATACATTTGAAAAGCCTCTTCTGAAAAATCCAGAGCTAAAATGACTTACAATTTTCATTCTAGTAATATCAGTAGCAGGAAATATGAACAGAAATTTAGAGTTGAAGCCTGTATATGCAACTCCCRTTAAAACAAAGCTCAATCTCTGCATTGGACCTGGAATTCACCCCTCCACGCTGCTGCCCTGATGCTGTGTCCTTACAGCATTAAGACTTGCTGCAAGGCTGCTTTAAGCTGACATGTGGCATTTAATGAATTTCAGCTASATAACTGTGACACACTGAAATACAAATATATTTTTAAGAGATAGTTTTAGCTCTTACGAAGGAGTAAATAGCTTCCAAAGAGAATTCACTGAGCCAAACAAAACTGTAACAYGCTGTTAGGGCTTTCAAACAAAACTGTAGTCTCTGGTCACCATCCTGGAATGATGTTCTGATGATCCAGTGATATTTCACAGCTCGATATTGTCCACTTGAAACATCCCTGCACCAGCCCCTCTGTGGCTCCCCCAGCCTCCCTACGAGTCTTTGAATGCTTGGGACAATTTCAGCCAGGCCTGACAGGGGTACAGCAGTCTCACTGATATTAAGTTTGCAATGTATCATGCCACATGGGACTGTGGAGAAAGAGGATTTAATTATTTCCTCACATGGAGGAAAAAGCTGAAGTCAGATTTAGAATCCGTGTGGGCTTTTATCCTAGAAAACRTACCCATAGGAAACCAGGCATCAGTGCTCCCAGTACTCACATAATTGTCATCAACAAATGACAAACACCAGGGTTTTTTTTCCTCAGTTTAAAATGCTCTTACAGGGGGTATGAAATAAAAATCTGTTTCTCATTAATTCTGGATCTTAAATGCAGACTAGTTTATTATTTTGCTCATGGGTTTTAACCTCCCRCTGTGCCATAAATAGCATTATTGAAACAATAATATCAACCATAAAGTTTTGTTATGAAGGAGGGAAAATTAGAGAGAGGATTAGACTTCGCACTGCCCTGTGTGTTGCCTCAAACTCATGGCAGCGGAAATTTCCCATTAAGTCAGGCTTCTGCCTTGTCATTACGAAACACAAAATATTCTGATACATTTCTATGTGCTCTGTGCAATTTTATACATAAGCATCTGCAGAGAAAACAGTATCACACCAGCTGCAGTTAGTCATCGAGCCACAAGACGTTCTTTCTCTTGTGCAAAACCACCAGTCTCACGGATGACCCTCCTTGAGGGCAATGGAAATTCTGGTCACCTTTCCTTCACAAGATCATGCCCCAAATTCCATCCTACAAATTGCTATACTTAAATGTGTAACTAGTCTGTAAGTAATCCTTTGCATAACTGACCAAAATACACAGCACTTGCTTATAGGCTCCAGAGATGACCACAGCAGAAATAGCTATGGAGATGTACACTAAAGGCTTGAACCCATTTGTGCTTTACTATGACTAAAATCAAAATCAGTATTTTCCTTCTCCAGTCAAAATAAACACATTTTATTTTTTCAGCATAGGCAAAGGGAAGTTAAATTTTTAACAGCCGTAAAATCACAGTCAGTATACTGGTATTCTATATAGGGACTGAAGTGTCGTTACCTGAATATATACTACATACATTTGAAATCCCATTATTGCTTGAAACATCACTTTTCTTTTAAACCAACTTTAACCAGATATGTTAAAGTCTTTTTTACTATGTAAAATACCAGGTTCAAAAACTATGTAAAATAAATATGGCATCTTAAAGAAAGTCATAGTGTTGCATCCACACATAAGTTAATTCATCTGCATATTTACCAGCCACCCTTGTTTAGGGGAAGAATTTAAACCCAAGAGATTAAAGAAACAGGCTGCCTTTGGGGCTTCAAGATGTATGTGAATCATCATCTGGTATCAGCGAGCAATTCTGTGTAATRCAGCCCAGTGAGGGGCAAGCATTTGGGGACTGCCTCCCTTCCAGCCAAACAGCAGGTACTGCCTGCTCCCAAAATCAGGAACCACACACAGGCTGAACTATATTCAATCTGGCAAAGAATTTCTTGTGTTCATAGCATTCCTCTCGTTTTTAAACTAGAATTAAATTTAATTATTTTTTTAAAAAAATAAAATTTAAAATAAAATTTAAAATTTTAATTAAATTTAATTCTAGTTTAAAAACTAGAAGAATGCTATGAATTAAAACAGTTTTTAAGGACATGTTCATCCAGTTATTGGTAGTGTAAGTTTTCCACCTGTGAATGCATTTATTGATAATAAATTGAACTGTAAAATCCAAGTGAGAAATTAGAGACACTGCAAAATATCTTCATACAYACCTAGATCTGGGAATATTTTCTGTGCTTTCTCTCAACAAGAGGTCTGAGATCAGTGTCTCTGGGCTTGATCTCTTTCCATACCTAAGGAATGGAAAAGAAAAAGTGCATTTAGCAAGAACATGTTTGTGCGTTTAGTATTTCATTCATTACAAACATAGCTGGTGTATTTGGGCTGTCCAACACACACCATGTTAGGGACTGAAAATTGAGCTTCCCCAAGCTTCTAATCAATCTTGAAATACTTTGCTCTGGGACAGAGAATTTTCTGCCTCAGATTTATTTTTTGTTAAATGAGATACCTTCCACTGGCTACCCCTGTCACACAGTGGCTGTCTTCCAATTTGCATTTTTTTAAACCCTAATTATTTTACTATACATTACTTAATAGCTAAAAATATCGCAATTCTTGCATTCTTGGGAAGGAATTTGCTCTCTTTTCCTCTGAAAAGAGAAGCCACAATGAGCACACAGCATGACAGACACCTCATCACTATATTCAGCTCAGCAGTGGTAATTACAAGCAAATGCTGTTGGAAAGAAATAGCATATATACATCACAGTTTATAACTTGCATAACGTTTGGATCATAAACCATCTTAACAGATAATCTTTTTCTGAATGCCATTTAAGTGAAATTCTCCCTCCAGGGGAGTCACAGGTGTAACTAAGGACTTACATCTTATCCATTACTATCAAAGGCATTTCTTCGATGTTCTTCCTTACCTAAATCTTGGAAAATATTAATTAATATTAATTAATAGTTAACCAGCTATTTTGGTTAAAAAGCTAACAGTTTCACCTGTTGATTCCATGCCCTCATGAAATGTGGGAAGCGGATCATTTTACTTAACTAACTGTACTTTTGCATTACCTTCTTCATTTTAATACATCACCAGTGCTCCAGAAAGTTGAAGCTTCAGAATTTTGAAGTAAATTTCTTAATCAAAATGGACAAAACTGAAAGTGAGTATCTGAAAAGAACCATCTGCTTATAGTAAAATGCTATTACAATGCTGCAACCAGGCACGACGCTGAACTCAGTGTCTTTCACTCCACCATCGCAAGGGGACCTCTCTCTAGTTCCCTCCTCTACTTAATATAGGTGCGATTTGGGTTTCAACTGATGGCAAATTCACTTTTCTCTTAAAGAAAGACCTGGTTGCCCTTGGGCCAAACCTGCACTCGTTGCTGAGGAAGTCTTGCCTGCACATTGAACAGTAGCAGCCACCGCAGTGCAGAGGCTCACTCAGAGCAGGAGGACTCTGCTGGAAAGAGCCTTTTTCAGCCAGCTCCATCAGTGCCAGGTCTTGGCTAAACCCACCTGCACGACTGAACCGACCTTGTCCTCGTGGAGACAGGTTCTGAGGGGAGTGATTGCGGACAGTGACCTATGGGGTGGCCAAAAGGTGCCCACTCTTCCTATGTGCCTGAGCCTCCAGTCTAACTCTGGATTTTGTCACCGGCAGGACAACCAGACTACAATAGCAATAGCAAGAGGACATGTCCTGAAAGAAACAGCTTCATGTAGAAGTCGACTGCTGAAGCAAACACCTTGTGAGATGCTTGCTTCAGTTGCCTTAGGCTTTCTCGCTGTCCGTCCCACACAGCTCTGAGACACCATGGACACAGGAAGCCAGGTTGTAAGGAACTAGGAATAAAGAGCACTTATTTTGATTACGGTCATGGTGTCTTAGACTTAGAAATCTCAAAAATTCTTAAAATTTCTTTTAAAAGCTTCAGCATTGGGAGTCAAATCCTATCAATTCCCGAGACTGGCAGCGGGAGCTGAGGGAACTCAGAAGAATCTAGTGGATAGAAGACAAGYGCCCAAAACACCCAAACTCTCTATATTTGCTCCCTTCCACACTAAAAGGTGTTTAAATAAATTTGGAACATGAATATTGCCTAAGTCAGATACACTTTCAGATATTCTCTGCTCTGTCTATGCTACTTTCAGCAGATGTGGTTGCAATGCTTTGCTGCAGCACAGAACAGACACAAATGTTAGAACAAGCTGCTAGGGACATGAAACAAAGTGGGTCTGACCAGCTGAGGAAGGACAGCTAGTACTAAGTAGCACACCAGAACTGCTTAGGGGAAGGAGGAGGGATTCAAGGAGAGATTGGCCCTGAAAAGACCCCCTGCAGKAGAGGTGTATGAGGCAAGGACTAGACTACAGGACAATCTTGAGGACAGAGGTGAAATTAAACCAGACACACACAGAAATCTACGGTATAGAAGCCTACATCTGTGCTGGTCCCCTTTGGCTTTCTTCATAGTGAAGATCTGGCACCTGGTGAATAACATTTCTGATCTGAAACTAGACATCTGAAAGAGGCCAAGTGACTTGCATGCTRCAAGTACCTATTCCTCTCAATCAACCTCAACAGGCTACTGAGATGAYTGGCACAAATGTCTAAAGCTAAGTGAGATAGAGCTGAAAAGACAGACAGAACGGGGAAAATCTGCTAGATGAAATCTAGGGAACAGAAGAAAATCTGCCTCACTTAACCCATCCGCAACAATAATTATTTTGGTTCACTTTTGAACTCTATGCACACATTAAGAATGAAAGTAGTCTCAATCTCTAAGTTGGCACCCCAGAACTGAGAAAAAAAAAAGTTACAAGTTTGACATTAAAGTGCGCACATAAGGAACAAAAAGTATGCAAGAAAGGAAGGTTGTATAAGAAGTTATTTTTTCCTGTGACCTGGTTTTGGATAGGAACTACCTTTGAAACTGGACGCAACAGACACAAAAGCTGATAAGAGAAACCGGCACTGAAGTTCCACTCTAATAAAGAGAAAAGCGCTAGAGGGGCAAAACGTGAAGAACAGATCATTTTAGCAGTACGTTAGGAAAAAAAAAAGTTATTAGAGCACTGACTAACACACAGCAGCATGCCATACACATGAACAAGTTGCAAATATTTCTATAAAAGTCCAGGACTGAAGAACTGTAGTTACATCAGCCTCTTCATCTGTTTTACGGTATCAGTGCCCTGACAGACAACRTTATGGGTTTGGTGGGAAGGCTCTCAGCTGCACGATAGCCTCCCTTCTAACTTAATTATTCTGACTTTTACAGGGACAAATGAAAGGCTAATTATAGATCTCTCATGTGTTTTTGATATTGAACAAATAAGGAGATATTCCAAAGCTTTTCTGGATCACAAAGTATTCAGGGACCTCAGGGGAAACTTCTACTAATCGTATAGCCTAAACTGGACAGATGCTACTAAACAAAAGAACTTTGTATTACATTTTTTTTTCAGATTGAGCTTTTACTACTGTTCTAACAAGAATGGTCATTCCCAGAAACTCAATTTTGAGCAAGGTAGGTTTAGCTTGTGCATCTTCTTTTGGTTTCTGCTTGAATTTTTATTTGTGGGCTGGAGAAAGTTTTTTGTTTGGACTAGCAGGTTTACTGTCCCATAACTGCTGTATTAAGTACCTAACAAACCACAAAGCTTTGGAACTACCACAGCAACTCCTCGGCAAGGACAGGGAAGCACTTTCTCTGAGTGAATTCCTCAACAGACCCGAGGGCTGCAAGGAGGTGTGAAACTGCGAAACAGCTCCCACTGCCCTGGCTTGCTCATCCCTGCTCCCAGGTCTGTCAGCGCTCCCTTCCTTTTGGGGAACACCCCACACGCTGCGCTGCTTGGTGGCTCTCATGTCAAGACTGTCACACAAGAGCTACATGGGGCTGAGAGTATTGGGACCGTGCGGATACCCCTTCACCAGGTCCTTCCACCAACTCAGCTGCCTGAAATTCACCTCCAGCATCTGCCCAGGGCGCGTGGCAGCAACTCCAGCTAAAGGGAGCCACTCTCTCAGCCCAGTTCTTTCCCCAGGGGTGCCCTTCCCGCATGCTGGACGAGCCAGCTGTGTCCCCGCAGCCAGGGCCACCCGTTTGTGCCCCGTGGGGCTCGCCTGCCTACCTCTGCCTCGTGATGAGGTTGATGTAGTGCCTCAGCGCCGAGTAGTATCTGGCCATGTCCTCTGCGGGCGCGTCCTCGCCGGGGCTGTCCGGTTTGGAGGGGTACGCCTCGGCCAGCGTGCCCAGGCACACGAGCAGCGACAGCGCCAAGGTCAGCACCGAGAGCCACAACCTCCGGGTGCGCTGCATCTGCGCGCCCAAAGCCAGAGGCGCCGTCAGAGCCCGCGCGGGCAGCGCCTCGCGCTCCCCGCCCGCCCGCCCCCTCGGGCCGCGCCGACRGCCCCGGTTCGGCCGGCCCGGCGCGGTTCGGATCGGCGCGGTTCGGATCGGATCGGCGAGGCAGGCGGCGGTACTCACGGCGGCGGCTGCAGCGGGGCGGCTCTGGGCTCGGCGAMGCGCTCTGCCGTCGGGGTCCGGGCTCCCGAGTGCGGGCTCCGTGTCTCGCCGGGCTCATTTAAGCGCTTTCCCGGCAGGCAGGAGGGGCCTCGGGCGAACACGCCTCGGCGGCGCCGGCCCCC